AACATGCACGATACATTGCAGCAGTGTTGCAATCTGACTCAAATGGGGACTTGCGCTTATTATAATGACCAGTTGCTTGTCATTCTTTTTCTGCTATGACTATGAGAAATGGCTTTCATCAGCCATTCAATTGGTAGATGACCTTAAACAAACCACTGTCTTTCAGCCGATATAGAAATAATGTCTGCTTTAATCCTACAGAGCATGCATATAAAGACGCTCACCGATGTTGCCTGTTTCCTTTCTGCCCCCTTTCCCCTGCAGCCTCCTTGAGACCTCCAAGAAACAGATATTGGCTTGCACAAACAAAGAGCTATGTGGCTTGCAAGGCTTCAGTGAGGGGGGGGGACTAGGACAGATCTGCTTTTGCACCAATGGAATCTTCATTGATAGGGTTGCCGGCCTCCAGGTGGGGCCTGGGGATCTCCCATTTTCACAACTGATCTCCAGATGACAGAGATCAGCTCCCCTGGAGAAAACGGCTGCTTTGAAGGGTGGGCTCTATGGCATTGTACCGTGCTGAGGCCCCTCCCCTCCCCAGCCAAGCCCTCAACTGGCTCCACCCCCAAAGTCTCCAAGTATTTCCCAACCTGGACCTGGCAACCAGGGGCAGATTAACCATTAAGCAGACTCAGCAGGTGCTTAGGGCACCAGGGCCAAAGGGGGCACCACAAAGTTGGGGAAAGGGTGAAAAGCTTAGTTTGTACAGTATATTGTGTTATCATATGAATAAATTTTTATATTGCTGCAACCTGCATGGTATATCTGGTCAGACAGGTCAACAACTAAAATGGACTGGGTCAGTGTGGAAAGGAGGGGGGCACCAAGATTGGTCAGTGCTTAGGGCACCAGTGAGCCTTTATCCGCCTCTGCTGGCAATGCTATTCATTGATGGGAGAAGAAGGAGAGTACACTTTTGCCTAGTTCCCTCTTTTATGGTTAAGTGTGCAGACTCTAATCTGGGAGAACTGGGTTTGATTCCCCACTCCTCCACTTGCACCTGCTGATGTGACCTTGGGTCAGTCACAAGCTCTGGCACAGCTGTCCTTGAAAAAGAGCAGTTTCTGTCAGAGCTCTCTCAGCCCCACCCACCTCATAGGGTGTCTGTTGTGGGGAGGGGAAGGGAAAGGAGTTTGTAAGCCGTTCTGAGACTCCAAGTGAAGGGCGGGGTATAAATCCAATCTCTTCTCTCTTCTTCTCTCTTATTGTTAAACTAGCAGTAAAGCCCGTTGTGAAAGCAATACAACGAGATCTAGAAAGAGGCTCTGGGGCAGTACTCTGGCTTTGGGCAAACAGTGTCAATTTGCTGTGGTGACCTCAGCAGGGTATAATGACAGAGTCCACTGTTTTCTCCAGAGGAACTGATCTCTGCTACCTGAAGAGCAGTTGTAATTGTGAGTGATATGTAACCCTCACCTGGAGATTGGCAGCAATTGTTACCCAGGACAAAATGGCTGGTTTGGAGGGTGTAGTCTATGGTATTCTACCTGTCTGAGGTCCCACCCCTCCGCAAACCCCACCCTCTCCAGGCTCCACCCCTCAAATTCCCTGGAATTTGTCAGCATGTAGTTGGCAACCCCATCTCCTTCCCAGCTAACCATCAATCTACCATTATCTGCCCCTTTGACTTCAGCTGACTTCTGCCCTCCCTTCTGCAGAGCAGTTGTAATACTGAGTGCTCTCCAGCCCTCACCTGGAGATTGGCAACAATGGTTCCCTATGTGGGACTGACTGGTTTGGAGGGTGGAGTCTATGGCAGTGTACCTGTCTGAGGTCCCACCCCTCCTCAAACCTCACCCTCTTCAGGCTCCATCCCTCAAATCTCCAGGAATTTCCCATCTGGAGTTGGCAACCCTATCAGGATTGGCCCCAATGTGTTTTCTCCCAAAGGCCAAAGTAGGTGACAGGACCAAGCTTAGTTGCCTACCAACAGGCACTGAGGGGAATGTAGGGTTGCCAGCTCTAAGGAGGGAAATACCTGGAGGTTTGGGGGGTGGATTCTGTAGAGGGCCGGGCGACGGAGGCATCGGCCTTCTGTCGCCCGCCTTGCCCCCCCAATCTCGGCCCGGGCACCCGCGGCTCCCACCAGCGGCCGCCCGACTCCAGACTCCCCCGCGGCCACTCCAGCCAGGCGACGGAGGCATCGGCCTTCCATCGCCTGCCTCGCCCCCATGGCATTGTATCTGTCTGAGGTCCCCCTCTTCCTCCTCCTCCTCAGACCCCACCCTCAGCAGGCTTCAACCCTATGTCCTTTCCTGGCAACCATCAGCCAACCTTTATCTGCCTGTCTGTCTTAAGTTTTACATCCCCCCCCCCCCCGCCTCTGCCTAGGGAAAGGGCAGTCTTTCCCTGCAGTGGGAACCAAAGCAGCTGACATCATTCTCCTCTCCCCCGTATGATCCGCACAACTACCCTATGAGGTATGTTATGGTTGAAAGTGTGTGAATGGTCCATAGTCCCCCAGGCAGCTTTTAAAACATGAACCTGGGACCTGCACACCATCTGTGGCAGTAATGCGGTGCCTGCTGGCACCTTTTCCTATCATTTTTTGCCTTGTGGTATTCTGCTTGTGGTGTGATCTGTCTTCTTTGTGGTGTGGCGTGATTGTGTTATTGGGTTTGTTTCTTTTAAAGGGGAAGTGATGTGTTGTGAGTGAGGACATATGTTACCTCAGAATACAGTAGTTCCCATATGCAACTGAAAATTCCAACTGCCTTGCGGGGGGGAGGGGGAGTTTGAGGTGTGGAATGGAGTGAAGTCCAATCAGCTTCCACATGCAAAAGACCTTGAAACGCTGGGCGGGACTGCACAAAGCAGCCAGTCAACCCAGCCAGTGTCTTCTGAGTGGCAGTTCTTCCGGCCAAACACTAAAGGCGGGCATTTTAGAACGTTGGTCCCCACTACTCCTTTATTATAAGGGAGAGATGCTTTATTATAAGGGAGAGATATACATCAAAAGGTGGGGGAAAGAACCACACCAAAGTTCACGACTGTAAATACACATCAAAATGTTAGAAATACAAAACGAGAACAGCAGGAAAAAAGCCCTCCTAACTCCATTTCCTCCACCACCTCCTCAGCTGCATGATCCTTTGCATCACGGATTCAACTGTCCTCAAAAAAAGTCTTGAAACAAGAAAATTTGACAGTTAAGGTGGGAGATCCCCTTGAACTCTTCTGGGATACTGTTCCAAAGAACAGGTACCATGGCTGAGAAGGAGCGTGCTTCAGTAATGACATATTTGAGAGACTTCAGAGACAGGCTACTCAAGAGGGAGCTCTGGAAAGATCTAAGTTAGCACATGGCCTTAAACTGGGAGAGACAGTTTTTCAGACATGTGAAACCCAGGCAGGCCAATAGCCACAGGGAGGGGAGCTTTGGGGGGCAATGCCCCCACAGATAAGTGCCACCCCTACAGACAAATTTTTTTTAAAGTTAAATGTAAGACGTGTGTGGGGTTTCCAAAATGACCCCGGGGAACAGTCAGGGAAGTCTCAATCTCATTTTCTTTTTTTCCGGGCCGAAAATTAAACAGGGTTTTAAAAATGCAAATAAAATGAAATGAAATTGCCAAAAAAAATTTGTAATTGCAAAATGCAAAAGAGAAAGAGAGAGCTGGAGATTCCTCCCCCCCCCCCGCTTACACAAAAAAGCAGCCCGGAATCGAGTATCTCCAATTGAAAGGACTAGAGGAGGTCTAGAGGTTGCAGTGGAGCCGGAGCCGCTGCTGCTGCAGCAAAAGGGCCACCAGGTGCAGCCGCCGCCTGCCACCGCCCTCTCCCCCCCGGATTTCCCCAAACCCCACCAACCAAAATTTTCTAGCTATGCTCCTGATCCCAGGTTGTACGGGACTTTATAGATAAGAAGCCATGCTTTGCATGTGACAGAGAAGCAAACAGGGAGCCAACATAGGTAGTATAACATTGGCAATAATATGCTCATACCTCCAGTTAATGGACAAGCAGCTGCATTCTGTAGCAGAATGCCTCTTCTCTGCAGCCCTCTGAGCTGTGGAGCTTTTTGGCCATTCGTCTCGCAATCTCCAGCATCAATATTCTGAAGGTTTCGGGGGCTGCTAGGGGAAGGGGAGAGTGGGAAAGAACTGGGCTTTTATTCAGGGCCCAGCCCTCTAACGGTGACTTACTTCACAAGACTGTAGATAGTGAATGTGCAAAACAGGTACGCCCTGGGAAAATTAGAGGAAGAAGGAGAACCGCTATGTGAAAAAAAATTAAAATGTCCCATGTTGCACGGGTACCCTCAGCTTTAAAACCTAGGATTCATTTTGAGCTGCTTATGAAAATGATTGGTCTGAAGCACAACATAAATGCAAAATAACCCCTTCGGGACTTTGAGATGAGGCAACCAGGTGGGGTCTACAGTGGTGGAAAGGACTGTACCATTTCTCAATGTGGGGGTGTGCTGCTTTCACATTTATTCTTTAGATATTTAGATTTATACCCTGCTTTCCTTCCCAGTGGGGGTGCCCAAAGCGGCTCACCACATCATTTCAAACTTGACGGCAAACAAAAATGAAAATGTGAAAGTAGGATGGGTTTAATTATCAACTAGTACATAGGTGGCTGGGAAAGATTGAAGGTCAAAGAACACGGGGACAGCAAAGGATGAGATGGTTAGACAGTGTCATAGATGCAACGAACATGAAATTGAGCAAACTTCAGAGGACGGCGGAAAACAGGAGGGCCTGGCGAGATCTTGTCCATTGGGTCGCGAAGAGTCGGACTTGACTGTGCGACTGAACAACAGCAACAACAACATAGGTGGCAGGAATACATAAGCCCCAGGATCCCTGGAGTTGGTTCACCAAACAACAAAACATGGAGGCTGTAATTCGTCCTAGCCAACTTCATAAGACTGTTTTGGGATAAAGTGGGAAGACCCTCACATTTGCCACCCTTGGGCTCCCTGGAGGAAAAACAGGTTAACAACGGTCATTGATAAATAGCAAGATGTGGGGGGTTTTCTCCCTCTGTCTCACCTGCGTCTGGGTTAAACCCAACTGTGCCGCTAGTTCTGCCCGCTCAGGTAATGCCAGGTATTGGGTCTGCTGGAAACGTTGGTTGAGGGCTTGGAGTTGGAGACTGGAGTAGATGGTGCGTGGCTTGCGGATCTTCTTCCCTTTCCCATTGATGCGGATTTCCCCATTCTCGATGATGGTGGCCTTTTCCAGCTCTTCCAAAAGAAACAGGTTTCGAAAGGGAGAAAGAAGAAGTAAGATCATCTGCAACCGGACCCAGTTTCTGTCGCTGCTAAAACGTCCACAACGTACAACCACCATGGGAGAATTCCTGTTTTAAATCAGCATTGTTTGTTTCCCCTGAACATGATTGAAATTCGCTTGTGGTAGAAAAGTCCAAAGCACAACATGAATGCAAAATACCCAGCCCAGACTTTTGAGATGAGGCAAACAGGTAGTGTTTAGAGTGGCAGAATGAACTATGCCATTTCTCACAGTAGGTGGCAAAGAATGCTGCTTTCAACTGCTCCTCCATATCAGAAAACCTCCCCACAAACAGAGACCTGGTATATCAGGGGAAAGGTTCCAGCTCAAGGTCAATAATAGCAAGGGGTTAAGTTCCTATGAAGAGACCTGCAGGAGCCCAGGCCTGCCATGAAGCCCTGAGCCCTTGATATCTTGCTGGGACAGAGGAAGCATTCTGAGCATGCTCAAAACCAGTCCTCTCACCTGTCAGTCTGTGGAGGCATTAAAAAGGTTCAACTCAATCAATACTTAATTCCTAAAAGGAGAAGCAATGGGAGAATCATGTCTTTTGATGTAATCTCAACTACGGTGAGCTGTAGTGAGAAAAAGGCCTTCTGTGCAGGCTTTTTCTGTCTTTAGCCAAGAGGAAACGCAGGGAACAATTATTTTAATAAATGAATTGTATAAATTCATAAACGGGCATGCTCAAAGTGATGGAAAGGTACATTCCAAGTCATATGCTCAGACAGTGGTAAAGCACTCCACATGAGCTCAGAGGCACTCTCTTCCTAATTCACGTGTTTAAATTCCGAGCCCTCGTTCAGAGTGCCCCCAAAATAAGCACAATTTCCAGAACATTTCTGTTTCTACATACCCTCCCTCTCGCAATAACTTCAGTGATGTGTTAATTTAGGGGATTGGAGCATAATCCTAAACAGAGTCACACCCTTCTAGGTCTGTTGAAATCATTGGGTTTAGAAGGGCATAACTCTGTTTAGGATTGGATTGTTGCATTCTCCATACATACGGCAGTGAAGTGATGCTTTAGTATGCCCACATTTCATTGGGGTCAGAAAGAAAATGGGCCCTGGCCTTTTAAAAGCCCGGAAGCAACCCTATGAATCAGCTGTTCCAAACAAAGACGAAAATCTCAAGGCACATTCAGATGTTCCTATACATCACTCACAGGTGAATGCGTGAACACTTTCGCTTGCAACGGGTCACATTTGGGGCAATGTGGAACTAAGTCATCATCTTGATAAGCTCCATTCTTAGGTAATGAACATGCACAGGGGAGCCCAGCTAAACTTCAGCTGAGTTCTTAGATGGATGCACAGGTTTGAATAAGCGAGAACAGACGGGACCAAGGTGGCTATGCAAAACACCCACATTTCAACACACAAACTCTTAACTAGGACAGCTTGCCCTCCTCCTGAGGAATTCTGGGAACTGTAGTTCCATGGCGAGAATTCTTGTAAGGTTGCCTCACACACACAAGCCCTTCTTGCTTTTCCCATGGGCAGGGGTCATTTCCTGCAGGAGCGCACAGGAGCGGAGCTCCGGCAGTAAGGAGCCCAGGGGGTGGGCACATGCAACAAGCCCCACCCCCTTCTCCCAGCAGCCCTCAGTTGGGCCACGAGGAGCAAGAAGCAGCCGGGTAAGTTCCAGCCCCCCCCCGGCCCACTTTCATGTACAATCTCTCCCTTCTCTGCAAGGGCAAATCTGCGTGTCCCCCCCCCCTATAGCTAGCAATCCAAAACAGTCCAGTGGCACCTTTAAGACCAGGTTTTCTTTAGGTACAAGCTCTCC